CCACTGCTGCTGCCGGCTGAACGCCGCTCCGGTGACCTGTGGGTGCTGAGCTCTCGCTGACCCTCCTTTGCGGATGAAAACAGCCCGAGTATTCCCAGATGCAGCCAGCAACCCAGTAACGCTCTCGCGTGGGACCCTCCTTCCACAAAGCTCTCTCTCTCCCCGGGGTTAAAGCTGATCCATGGCACAGAGGGACGGGAGGAGAAGGAGGGCAAGGGCAGCGAGCACCGGCTGATCTCCGCCCCTGGCGGCCGACACGTGCGGTCGCTCCTCGGCTGCTGCGGGAGCCCGACGTTCCCACACCCAGGGATCGCTGCCAGCTGGGAGGGAGGGTGTGTCGTCCAGTGACAGGTACAAACATTGAACTCCAGTCTCATAGCTGCCCTCGGTGTGTCTGTGGAGCCATTCTCCTTGCTTGCACAACCCCTCCTCCTAGGTTTTCTCTTCTCGGTCTGTTTTCCGCCTCGTAATGTTCCGAGGTTTGATTTTGAGGGACAGTTCCCACAAGGCCTCCTCAGCCAGGTGGTCGCTGAAATCGTTGAAGAAGGACACGATGTCATCGTTTCTTTTGATGTCATAATGTCTGGAAAACCAGAGTAGGGCAGCAGTTAAAGAAGGAGCTATCTGGGGACCCCTTGGAGACACCCCTGCCCTACTCTAAGGAACACCCACCACTGTGGGGTCTGCATTAATCTGTGCCCAATATTTGTGCCTGTCGTGTGACACTAAAAAGAGGAAGAACCATCATGCTCATCACTATGCTGGAGAAAAAAAAAACAAGTCTCTATATCCTAGAGAACACAAGAACCAGCAACAGCAAAACCTGGAGGAAAAACTGGTGTCTGAAAAAGAGTAGTGAGACAACTTTACTGGATCTCACAACTAATACAGGAAAAATGTCTTCACAGCTTCTAATCATAGAATCTAGAGAGGGAAGGAGATTGTGACCAGAGCCCTGTCCTTCCAAGCTCTCCTCACATCTCTATCATGATGTTTTGACTTCTGACCCCCCATCCCTTCTGTGGGGGCTCCCATGCCCCAGCCAAGGCCCACACACCAACTCCCACAGTGGTGCCTCCAAGCCAGCTCTGTCCACCCTCTTGCACTTACACTTGTTGGAAGCACCTCATGCTGTCCAGGATGTTAAACTGCTGCCAGCGCTTGGAAAAGTTCACTTTGCTGTCAATGTAATCAGGGTTTCCCAGATGAACAAAGGTCAGGTCCTGCAGGATCAGGCCTCTGAAAGAGAGCAGGCCAGGGAGCAGGCAAACAAGAACAAAGGTTAGTCACACAAGGGCAGGACAGCCAGGCAAAAGGCAGCCATGGGCACTCTAACAGCCTCCCATGCTGCCACCATCAGAGCGGCAGCTCTAAACCAGAGGGAAACACACCCCTGGCAGCAGATCTGGAGCTGTTCAGGCAGGAGGTGCCTACTATGCCCAGCTGAGGGACCTTGAGGTGAGGCACTCCTGGTCACGCTAAGGGCGCTGAGGCTGCTCAGGAGAAGTTTCATGGGTGTAAACCCAGAGCAAATCTGGTGTCTAGATCAGAAGGCCCTTACAAAGAAAGGCGATGGCTTCAACCCTTCTTCTAGAAACAGGAAGAAGCAGCATGTTTGACAAAGCAGAATCCTCTTTTACCAGTTTCTGCAGTCTGCAGAACCAGAGCTGTCTCAGAGGAACAAGAAGCAGCCTGAAACTGTGGAATCCATTGCACCTCATGGGAGAATTTGTCTTTCTGTGCACAGACCCCAAAGACAATATAGTTTAAAAGTGTCAACTAAAGATCCCAGCACTTGATTTTTCCTTTGCCACAGTCAATTCACAAAAGCCTTCACAAAAAGACAGCTCATCCCCTGCCTGCCCATGCTGTAGGACATAAGGGTTGATGTGGCACACTGCCATCTTACTCCAGATGTAGGGCAAAAGGAAAGTGCTGAGCTGAGCAGAAGTTTCTGAGAAATCCTTGAAGGAACCATCTGAACATGCAGGAGTGATGGCAGAGGAAAGAAGTGATCAACTCACAGGTAGGGTATGCAGGGGGGCTCCACATCAGCCAGAGCTGCTCGGTAGGCGCGGAAGGACGAGGAACTGTCGATCAGGGTGCAGTACTCAGCCAGGCCCTGGGAACACCAAGCCCATGGTGACACCATTGCAGCAAACCCCTGTTGTTTGTAACCTCTGCCCAGGGAGCCATGCAGGCCAGGGAGTTAATGCCACCCTGCAAACACCTCCAGCTGGTTTACTCAGCCTGACCCTGAGCACATACACACAGAGCCTTGTTGCCTTCAGCCTCACCAAGTTGGCAGGAAGGAGGAGGAAGCTCTCCCCTGTCACTGCACCATGACCCCACTTGTGCTTGCCAGCGTCCCCAGCCACTCTGCAGGCTTCCAGCACCATGGCATTATATCCTCTGGAAAGCAATTCACTGCCATCCCTCCACCCCGGGATGCTGCTAAGCTGTCAGCATCACCCAGCTGTTTCATACCACAACCGCAGTTATCTTTTTCTCCTGAAGATGACAGCCCTGCCTGCTCCTCACCTCTGAGGTTTGTTTCTGCCACTCCAGCCTTCGGATGGGTGCAGAATCCAGTGCAGAAAGAATGGCCAGATAGGAATTAAAATTATTCAGCTTTCGCAAGTGCTGTGAAGGGGGAGAATATTCCAGTTACTCCAGAGATCAGAAAAGCTTTCTGGCCTCAAAGAGCTCTACCAACCAGGTTCCACTCCCCTGCTCCTTTAAGGAGCAGTGTGTGTCATTCACAGCAAGAGCCAAGCTGGTACCTTCATAATCTTGATGAATTTAAGGAGCAGCCTCTCTCGGTCTTGGGCTTTCTCTTGTAGCATAATTATTGAACGGACCCTGGAAGAACAGAGAGAAAAAAACCCAGAATGATAAACCCACTTCAGCAGGCCTCAGACTGCTTTTTGTTTCATTTACAAAGCCAGTAACTAACTAACCAATCAGGATGGGTTCCAAATGAAATGGAGCACTCTAATTCACAGCAAAGAATAATTTCAAGGATGGCCCTGAACCATTTATTTGCAAGGGGAATGTTTGTTTGAAGGGCTGAGTGGTAGTGGCAGTAATTCCTCCATAACAGTGCCCTCCAAAACCCTCCTGATTTTCTCTCTCTTGTGCTTAGGAGTCTTTAGGAAGTGCCCTGAATCTACTTTCTAGCCAAAAATATATGTTACCCTGCTTATAACACGGGAAACAGTGCAGAGTTTGGTGCCGCAGTTGTTCCTTACCAGTAGGACATGTTATTAAAGTGCTCTGTGAACTGTGTCAGGTTGGGGCTCTTCTCTTCATTTTGTTC